GGTTGACGAACTGGGATGGATGTGGCCGTGGGTCAACGCTCTAGCTGGTGACTATGACGGACAGCTTTAACAGCTTACGGCCGACCTCGGCGATGGCCGAGCTGAAAGGTAATACGAAAAGAGGCAAGCTCACGCCTGAAAGCGCGGAGACGAGTTGATGTCCATAGCCACACCAGTGTTATTCATTATTTCAGCGAGCTCATCCGCACTGGCATCAACGCCACGGGGCGTGTAGCGAGCTGAGGCAGTGTGACCTCACCCGCAGTACGGCCTAGGATTCCCGATTATTACGCGTTATCAGCTCGCACGTGTAGTGACGTTGAATGGGGCGACCACCGGTACCCGTTGATATGCGAAAAGGACTGTGACCGGTCGTGAGCTGTAACCCGTGCAGCGACCTGAACTTTGGGGCACGTCAATCTGCGACGAGCTGAGTTTTTGGGGAATTTTAGCGAACGAGCTATAATTGTGAACGAATTGGCATGTTCATGGCGACCTGGTAAACGTGGTCGTGATGACGAGCAGCTATTCTGATCTATAATAAAACGTGTAACAATCTGACCAAATCTCTAAGTAGATACGTTTGTTCGACCTGAGTCATGGCCAATCTAAATCTTGGAGATTTTTGAATCGATCGAGTCTAACCAGATCTCTGTGGAGATACGTTTGTTCGACCTGAGTCATGGCCGATCTAAATCTTGGAGATTTTTGAATCAATCGAGTCTGACCAGATCTCTGTGGAGATACGTTTGTTCGACTTGAGTCATGGCCGATCTGAATCTTGGAGATTTTTGAATCAATCAAGTCTGACCAGATCTCTGTGGAGATACGTTTGCTCTTCCATATCTCTTTACCTTCCTCGCCATAAATGCTGGCGCAGCGTTTGAGGAACGTGACAGCCAGAGGCGGCGCACATTATGCAAAAGACGGTTAGACGCCTACCACATGTGAGACGCCTATTGGCGTGTCAGAGACACGTGCACGGTGTTTAACACGGCCATTTTGGTTTTGTTTCTCTTGTAACCGTTCCCTTTTCCATTTTCATTTCATTGCTTGCGTAAGTTCAGCGAGTTTCTCTGCAGCACAACATTTGGGTTTTGAAGAACAGAGCATAAGGTCATCACTTCGTACAACGTCTGCTATCATTCAAAAGGTAAAAATGGATTTCTTTAGAGAATTGAGAGAGCTACGGGGTAACCATGGTAGGGAGGAAGAAGAGGGGGTGATTGCCGCGGAGCCTATCGCGATGATAGTACCACCGAAGCTGCAGGATTTTCCGGAGACGATAACGTCAGAGAGCAACGCCAGTTCAAGCGCCGGAGATAATGGCGACGGCCACCACGCCTCACCGTCCATTAGCTCGTCTTCTGGGAGTCCGTCAAATCCTAAGGAAGAGCCGGAGAGCGTAGGTGGTAACGAACTGGATCTGCCCGCGGCTGGGGAATGGGAGGATAGGGTACTCCAGGGCAGATTGAGTAACATACGCAAAGCTCCAAAGGATCTGACAGCCGGGTTTAGATTCAGGGCGGCGCTTCATCACAAAGTAGCGGACAGCGCGCCCTCAATAAGTGGGTACAAGAGGCTGGAGGAGATGATAAGGGAGTACCACATCCCCCGAACTATATTGGTGCGAACTGGCGGGCAGAACAAGAGGGCTTGCTTGGTATCGCAGACGGGCTGGATACCGTGTATGCAGATCATTTTGACGCCGGTTTGCGATTTCCCCTGCCTGGGCTGGTATTCGACCTGCTGGCAGACTACGAGCTGGCTTTGACGTAGCTGACACCCAACAGCATAAGGTTCATCGTGGGCTTTATGTTGTTGTGTGCAAGACTGGAGGTACCGGCCAAGGCGATAGTGTTCAGGTCGCTGTTCCAGTGCAGGCTGTGTCCAAACTCAAGAGGAGCGAAGTGGTACTACCTCTCTGGGAAGGATAAGAGCCAGCTCTTCAAAAACGTGAGGAATAAAGTGGCGCGGTGGAAAAGGCAGTTCATTTTCATTCACAACACGCGAACAAAGAGGGTAAGCAATGACCTCGCTGCCCGGCTGTCGGAATGGCGCACACCAAATGCGCATGTGAATTATCCCCAACTGCTGCCACGGGACACGGATCTCAAGAACCGACTGTTAGAGCATGCGAGACATGAAAACTTAGTAGATCTCGAGGCCTTGGTTACCCCGGAGCTGCTCGCTGTGTTCGGGTTTGTCGACGTGGCAAATCTGTTCACAGAAGGTATATTTTTCTCATATGGTAGGAATTGTAGCCGGGCTGAGTCTTATGCGTTTTTCTGTGCAGGAGAGATGAGCAACATCTTGGAACGCCAACAACAACGAGCCCAAGGCTCACGAGGTCGCGCATCGGGCAGCGCGCAACCCAGGCAGACACATTTTAACGAGTGGCCACCCCCGACGCCTCAATCACGCGGCTCGTCACACCAGGGATCCAGCTCGTCGTCAAGGCCACGAGCAGATCACAGAGCTGAGGCTGCGGTCCTGGGTGCACGCAGACGTGCACGCGAGGAGACAGAGAGCGAGGAGGATGAGGTCCCCCTTGCTCGGCGCAGAACAAGCGGGGGGACTCAGCCCGCACATGCGGCCCGTCCTGTAACTGTGCGTTCACCGAACGCACCGTCAATGACTGTGCGGGCAGCAGTGGAGCCCGCCTCTGCATCGGCCTCAATGTTCAGCCCCAGGATTGCTTATCCTGAGGGCTTCAGCTATGTGCGGGCAGAGTGTCAGCCTGCTATGGTGCAAGGCATGCACAACTTTGTGCCCCCCGCAGATAGTAAGCGGGCCAAAACCTTTGTGCAACAGCATGGCGGCCAGGTCTCCATGATAAAACTGATGGACGTAAGTATCTGCTCGTACCTACTTGAATATTTTGCTTTTTCTTTTTAGAGACTAACGGTGACCACTGTTTGGCAGGCGTTCAGCTACGCAGTAGCGCTGTACGAGAGCGAGCAGGCGGCTCGTACAGAGAACACCGAGCTCGGTTCAAAGTGCAAACAGCTGGCCGCGGAGAAGGCTAGCCTTGTGGACGATGTAAATCATCTACAAGGCTCTGAAATGGCGAACCGAGCTGCGGCTGCAGAGAGCCGGGCGGACGAGCTTGCCAATAGGATCAATGAGCTCAAGGAGGAGCTAGAACGAGCCCGTGCCGAGAGAGAAAGCGGGATTCAAGCGGCAAAGGATGAGGCCGCTCGGGTTGAAGAGCGGGCTAAGAGGGCTGAGGACGAGAGGGACCGTGCTCAGACCGAGCTGAGTTCCCTGCGGTTCCAGGTCGCTGAGGCTGACAAGAACCTCAACGCTACCGAAGAGGCGCTGAACGCATTGAAGGCATCTCATGCGTGCTTCGTCGGTATTGCCCGAGCTCAAGGGGCAGAATGGCTGGTCGGCTCGTCAACATTCCAAGACGCAGTGGCGGTGGCGTCTGCCAACATGACCACAGAGATCTACAATGAGATTCGTGGGAAGGTGCTGCACCACCGCCCAGATTTTCCAATCCGTGAGCTGGTCTTCTTTGACGAGGAGGAGCTTGACGAGCAGGGTAAGAGCCTTGCTCCCCTCGCTGATACAACTGTGAGGCTGAGATGGGATGTAAACGAGTAGGGCATGCCCGTCTGGCCACCGTCCGTGCTGGAGGACGGGGAGGATCCAGCAGGACTGCCCTCATTTGATGCATGGGTAGAGGGTGCTCCTGTAGCTGAGCAGGAGCCCTCAAGCACCCCGCCCAACTCTCAGCCCGCTGTGGTGCCAGCCAGCTCACCCGTCAGCGCGCCAGCCCTTGAGCCCGCAGCCCGGTCTCCTCCAGCTCACTCTTTCGCAGCTGCTGCTGACACATCCATGCCCGTCGATCTGACGGATGACTAGATTTATGGTTTTTTCTTTCAATTTTTTTGTACTTCGCTTTTGCATTTTTGTATTTGATCAATGAATTCATATCATGTGTACCTTCAATGTAAATATCTTTGATGAAATACAAAAATGAGTTTTCGTTTGAATTTTGTTGTATTTTTGGTGTATCATTGTTTACAACTGTCGAATAACAATTGGAATAAAAGAATAGTATACAGATTAACTGTAAAATTTTCTAAGATTCTGTATGTTCCAAATGTAAGGCAACTGACGTCCCTGCATATCTGTTTACATGTAAGAACCAGGTCGTTTAACTTGAACAACCATATAGGGGCCTTCCCAATTAGGAGCGAGCTTGCCCATGTACGAATGGGTGTTAGTTAGCCCAACTTTACGTAGGACCAGATCGTCGACTTGAAACTGGCGAGCTCGAACTCTTTTATTGTAAAATTTTGCAACACGACTTTGATGTGCCATGTTTCTTATTCGGGACATCTCCCTGATTTCTTCCACAAGGTCTAGGTTTTCTCTTAAGAGCTGTTCATTATTCTGATCGTCATGACGATCTGATCTATCTGATGGCAATCCGACCTCGACGGGGATAACAGCCTCAGCTCCATATGCCAGACTGAACAGGGTTTCGCCTGTGGCCAAGCTGGGTGTAGTACGACATGACCACAGCACTTTATTGAGCTCGTCAACCCAATTAGTATGTGCAGCCAAAACACGCGTCTTGAGTCCCCGCAAGATGATTTTATTGGCGGACTAGGCTTGCCCATTGGACTGTGGAGTGTACACAGATGTCAAGGCGAGCTCAATGCCATAGTCGTTACAAAACGACCTCAATGCTGCTGCTCGGAACTGTGGCCCATTGTCGGCGATAATCCGCTTAGGTATGCCGAACCTGCACACAGATGAGCGAGCTGAGCTACAAATCACGTTTGCATCTATTTTGTTTATGACCTCGGTCACCAAAGAATACCTGCACAATATTGAATTGAACAAGAATTCTTCTATTTTTCTTTCTATTGTCGTGGACAGTGGTTTGGCTTCTATCCACTTAGTGAAGTAATCCACTGCAACGACCAGGAAAATGCAACCTCCTTTGCCTTTGATGAAAGGGCCGAGCAGGTCAACACCCCATTGAGCAAAAGGCCAAGGAGACGTGAGTGATGAGAGCATTTCTCCTGTTTTAACAAAGATACTTATGCTCAGTTCATAGATAGTCACTAAGTTTGCATAAACTTTAGAACGAGCTCGGATACCTGGCATATGAATACCATCAGCATTGAACTGGCAGGTCGGGCACCTTTTGACAAAGTTCTGTGCGTCGTCGACCATAGTAGGCCAGTAATAACCGTGCCTCAGGAGTTTCCGAGCTAAAGTTCTGCCACCAATGTGCGTGCCACATACTTCCTCGTGAACTTCTCTTACGGCGTATTCAACTTCGTAAGGAGTAAGGCAGCGTAATAGAGGCATTGAGGCTGCTCGCTTGTAGAGCTGGTTATCTAACACAGTGAAATGTGCTGCCCTGCGTTTAATCACTTTTGCAGCGGACTGGTCTTCAGGTAGCTCACCACTTTGTAGATAATTTATGAGCGGGGTGGTCCAGCTCGGTGTAGAGGGATTTGTACTTAGCAGGTGACACTCGACTGTGAAATCAGTGTAGCTCGGTGCGTTGAGTACCTCGACAATTGTTGATCTCTAAGGGTTATGTCCTGCGAGGAGGCCAACTTTGACAGCTCATTAACTCGGTGGTTGTCTGCTCTTGGTATTTTATCAATTTGGAAAATGGCAAATATCGATTTCAATCTGTTGACCACAAAGGCATAACGACTGAGCTGGGGATCCCTCATGTCGCAGCTACCATTCACCTGGCCCACTACGAGCTGTGAGTCGCTGAAAACCTGAATGCTTTGTACTTTCAGCTCGGACGCCAGCTTTAGTCCGTAAATGAGGGCTTCATATTCTGCAGCGTTATTGGTCGTTTGAAACTTAAACCTCAGCGCGTGCTCAGATTTAAAGCCATCTGGGCCCAATAACACAGCCCTAGCACCCGACCTTTCAATGTTAGCTGCTCCATCAACATACAAAACCCAGACTGGGTGTTTGTGTGCTTTTTCTTCGTTAGTTATTGAGGTGCACTCCACCAGAAAGTCCGCAACGGCCTGGCCTTTTATGGTTGTGCGTGGCCGAAATTTCAGGTCATATTCACTCAGCTCGACGCTCCATCCAATAAGCCGACCAGAGAATTCAGGTTTCTGCAGTATTTTTCTCAATGGTAAATCGGTATAGACAACGATCTGATGAGACTGAAAATAAGCTCTCAGCTTACGAGCCGTGTAGACCAAAGCAAAAGCAGCCTTTTCTGCTAGCGGGTAGTTCTACTCGGCACCTTGTAACACCTTGCTCACATAGCAGACAAGCTTCTGACTCTTATTCTCTTCCCTTAGCAGCACTGAACTCACCGCTTCTTCTGTGACCCCCAGATAAAGATATAAACATTCCTCGTCGACAGGCTTGGACAGCAGGGGTGCGGATGCCAAATACTGTTTGAGCTCGTCAAACGCCTGTTGACATTCACCAGTCCACTGAAAGTTTTTAGGCTCCTGCAGAGCTTTGAAGAACGGAAGGCACCTTTTTGCCGATCTGGCTATAAACATGTGCAACGCAGCTACCCGACCCGTCAGACGCTGTACATCTTTTACCGTCTTGGGAGGCTCCATCTGCTGAACGGCCTGGACCTTCTCTGGATTTACTTCGATTCCTTTCTTGGATACCACGTACCCTAGGAATTTCCCTGATTCTACAGCAAACATGCATTTCAAGGGATTCAGCTTCATTTGGGCTCGATGTAAGTTTTGAAAAGTTTCATCCAGGTTGTCAATGTGATCCTCAGCTCGCACGCTGGTGACTATCATATCATCTACATACACTTCTACGTTTCTGCCGATCTGGAGCTTAAAGATGATTTGTACCAGCTTCTGGTATGTTGCTCCAGCATTTTTGAGGCCAAACGGCATCATGACATAGCAGTATATTGCGTCACCAGCGTAAAAAGCTATTTTTTCCTGGTCGTCTAACAATAGCTGGACCTGGTGGTAACCCGAGCTGGCGTCTAGAAAACTCATCCGTTCGTGCCCAGCTGCCCGTTCTACCAACTTCTTGACGTTTGGCAACGGATGAGGGTCTTTTGGACATGCGTCATTGAGGATGGTGAAATCAATACACATCCTCCACTTGCCATTTGGCTTTTTGACGAGCACAGGGTTGGACACCCATTCAGAGTATTCCACTCTCCTGATGAAGCCTGCCTGTAACAGCTTTTGTATCTCTTCATCTATGACAGCTTGCTTCTCGAGGCCAAAAAGGCGGTGTTTTTGCACCACCAGCCTTCTGGTGGGGTCTGTGCTAAGCTTGTGGACTGTCAATTCTGCTGGGACGCCAGGCATTTCATCTGTAGTCCATGCAAACACATCCTGATTATTCCTCAAAAATTCCAGAAGTTC